AAAAAACGTTGAAACGTATTCTACGAAACGGTTACGCAGGATCGTACGATACGGATATCGGTTTCTATTAGGAGCAAATGCCAAAACTGATATTCGTTTAGTAAGCTACGGATTTTTTTTAGAGAGTGTGCGAGGACGTCCAAACAAAATAAAATTAGTATCACAGTAAGACTAGAAAACTGAGCTTGTTCTGTTTTTTTAATTGGGGCCATATTCTTGTAAGTGTTGCAAAAAGTTTCGCATTGAAGAATCGTTTTGCCAAAGACTGCACGGTTTGAAAGGTATAATATACGCGTGTGTGAGGGCTATTGCTATTTATTAATTAATTAATTATTCCAAGATCTTAACTGCATAAATAGATAAATTTAAATTTTCGATATCTTTGCTGCAGAAATGCTTACGTAGCATTTTCCCGAGATCTTTTTTGTCTTTATTTCCTTTCGAGATCCATTCTGCTAATTTTCCGAGATCTTTTATTTTCACGTCCTTTGATATATCTTTTGTCTTATACAAACATCAAACAGAAGCTCTTGTTTCCCTTAGGTACCGCTATCGGTTTCATATCATTATTTAGTAGAGATCTTCGGAGCGGTCCCGGTACCCCAGGACTTTTACGGGTCCAGGACCGAGACCGGGACCTAGAAGTCTGCAGGATGGTCTGAGTCCTGCGGGATGGTATCGGTCCCGTAAGACTTTTAATGAGATCAGGAGCAGATTTTTTTGAAATATTCATGTATGGAGCATAAAAATTTCTCAGTTTCTGTGTCTGTTTGTATGTAGGCACTCGTTATGCGAGAAAGAACTCACACAAAATTCTAAACGTCATCAGTTAATGACCTCTTCACAATAGTGCTATTTTCCAGGTTAATTTGAATTAATGTCGCGCTAATACAGCTTGTGCAAAGTTCAAATAACTTGGCAGATAAAGATACAAGTTTCTTCTTACAAAAAGGATAAAAATAGAGCAGACTGAGTCCGTTTGCTCTGCTTGTATCCTTCTTGTTCATAGAGTAGAGATGTGCACGGGTACCATTTTCGTACCCGTACCCGAAAATTTTTTCCCGCCCGTACTAGACCCGACCCGAGAAGGTTGTACCCTACCCAACCTTCGGGTCGGGTCGGGTACGGGTACGCGTCGGATAAGCGTCGGGTTGCACATCTCTATCATAGAGGTATTGTGAAAAGCCTAATTTTCCAATCATCTTTCAGATGATGAAAAAATCTTGCCCCAGAGAGGTGTTTAGGATCAAAAAATATCTTAACAGTGGCCAAACGTGGTTATCAGCTGCGCGGATTTTGTAGCTACAGGTCGCAAAAGTATTGAAAGGTCCTCACTGTCTTGCATCAAACTGCGTGTTGCGACGGCATAAATAATTTTGGCTTGAATTCGCAAAAATTTTGTAAATATCCCACGACGGTGTTTAGCGTACAGGTTTTTGCACACATAAAACTGTGTAAAAGTTTTCTGAAAGCCTGGAAAAACTGACTTTCGAAAATGTCGCCTTCAGATAAGAAAACGATTCTAAAAATACTTTCAATGGCACTAGGATGTAGAACAAACATTTCTGATAAAATGAGACATAGGCGAGGTCCGGATAATATTCTAATCAAAAGTTATGAGAATTTCGCTAGAATCTTTTAGCATTTTCGACTTTTGACGCATACTATTATTTGCGAAACTAAAATATCAAAAATCCGACTCTACTAACCTCTGATCAGATGTGTTTTCTCTCTTACTTCTCTCTTACTTTCCAAATCTGAGATATTTAATCTTACTGAAAAAATGCCACATGCTCACACAGGCCCTTTCAAACTTTGGCGACTTGCAGTTACAAAATCCACTTAGCTGATAACTGCGTTTTGTCACTCGAATAGTACACAGAAACGTTATTTGATTAAACCTCTCGAAATTTAAAGCAAGACTGTGTCGATTTTACACAGTTTGAACATATTTTAGATTGTATAGTTTGATGATATCAATATTGTAATCATACCTAATACAAAGAAAAAGTCATAAAGTTGCTCAGTAACACCAACGATTGTATAATGGCGCATAATATTTGTTTTTGCTTGCTGTAAAGACCAATCATTTATTAACTGACATTTAGGATCTTGCCCACAAAAAAATGGTATCATATGACTAACACCATGTTGACTTGATAAACATTCCTCTGGATTTAACTTATGCCTTATATTTATACAATCATCTAATGTATCATTTAAATAATCTAAATTTAAATAACAACGATTTTCTAGTCTACATGTTGTTCGTGTAAAATAAAAAGCAGAAATAGAACGTTCTAATGGATCGCGTACAACATTAATATAAATTGGTTGTGGTTTTTCAAATAACGAAAAATTAATAAAATACATGTGTCTTTCATATAATATGGGTTGTGTCGTATTATAAACTTCGTTGACAATTTTTTGTTGTTCTTCTGTATTATAATCAAACGGCGCATATATAGCACTATTAATAATATTAAACTTTTGAATATCTGATTGTTCACGAAATACAAGGCGAATTGTTTCACTTGCACATTTAGGCACTCGATTATAAACAATTACTGATGAAAATCCTTTTATTGATATATGTCCAAAAGAATCTTTGGGACGAATAGGAGTGGCAGATGAAATGGTTTGTGTAATTTTTCGTAAATTTTGATGCAAAATACGTTTATATTGTTTGACTCTAACCGCGCGATTTCTAATTGATGGCAGCATGTGTTGTTGGCAGTGTTCTGTACTGCATATATTAGAATCAATTATTAATAAGAACGTTAATGTCCATACAAATGATAATACAAGAGTGATTTTACTTAATAGCTTAAATCTGACAGTTAAGTGATTTAAATATTTTCTTGAAAACATATTTCGCTTGCACCCTTTTTTTTGTTTAATCCCTTAATATCATAAAACAGAAAATCGAGGAATCTTCCAATGAACACTAAACAGAAAACTAAAATATTGTACTAATCACAATTGGAACCGTATGAAAAAAATTCAATGCGATCGGATCGACTGTTAACGGCCGATTAAAGGTTTTTCGAAATCGGTCTAAAAACGTTTGATTATTTTCTAAAAATGATTTGTTTGTCCATGGTCTATGCCACTAAAACAAGCTGTGTGTCCTTGTGACTGTTTTTTGGTCTCTTTTAAGAAATGAAAATATAGGCACTGTCGACGATGAATAAACAAGACATCCAGATAAGCAAAAAATCACTGAAGACGGCCGTCATGACTAGTCCGAAATGTCTGTACATCCCGTCAGGACTAGTCTAAAACGTCCCTTTCGCTCGTCATGACTAGTCCAGTTTTTAATAAATGTCCGTATAACCTGTCTAGACTGGTTTGGAATGTCTTTTCGATTCGTCATGACTGGTCTCTTTTGTCCGCTATACCCGTCTAGACTAGTCGAAAAAAAAAAGATGATATGAATAATTTCATGATCTTAGGTTGAACATTACACCGTCTGCACAAAGAAACTGACGCCCGGATCGGACGGACGTCTGGTACCTTGTTCTAAACAAATACGATTGTGCCCGTCAACAAACACTTTCTGATTAGTATTTTGGGAAAATATGTATGTTTAAATTATACATAGAAGTATATGTCGCATTTTGTAGAGTGCAAATTCTGTATAAGATAGAGTAATTTGCAATGTTACTAATGACACCTTCATGAAGAAACTTAGACACCAAATGTAGTCGGTAGCAAGAAATTGGAAAATTTGTCCTACTAATTTCAATTTTTTCACCAGAAAGATGTGAGTTTGAAATAGAAGCGAGGTGATATTCGGAATCCGCGTGAAAACCGAGTTGAACGATGCATATTATAAGGATTTTTGAGCAACGAAGTTTTTCGACAATTTTTCCCTTGGCTCAACCATGCAACTATGGACAAAAAATTTTTAAAAAGGTTTTTTGCTCAGAACTATTTATTCGGATGTTATGATAAGGTTGCAACGAAGACCTAAATTCTTAAAAGCTTCAGCGAAATGTTCTTCACATATACTAAAAACTAGCATGCATAAACTGATATTCTGTCACTGCCCAGGTAAGCAAAAGACGGGTGAAATGACTATTGTCGGTAAAAAAAAAGAATGGACTCGGATGTTTTTTGAATAACGTTTGACAGAAAAGTGGCTAATGCTTGCGGTCTTCACTAATCGAAAGCTAGGACCTAACTGCATCTAGAAACTCCAGTTGCTTAGGCGATAATCATACTATATAAGGTTGATTGGATAGATTAATTTCAATGCTACGATAAAGATGACAGTGTCCTTATTATGCGCATTTTCCATTTCAAAAGTTCATATTCA